GACTTAAGAATCACAGTCATTACCTCCAAAACAGACGCCTTGTTTAAAGGGCATTCATCTCGGGAACATCAGCTACCCTCTGCAGCGAGCTCTGTTCTTGTGATGTACGTTAACTGAATTACAGAGAGCCAATCAGTGCGCTGGGAGGTCTGGTGTAAACAGGAAGAAGCTACTCACGACACAATCTCTGGTATCTGGTCTTCTGTCTTAAAGCGTCCCGACCAGAGAAGAAACTTCTTGTCCATATTCGACGGTTTGTAGCCTGGGACTCTGAACGAGGCACGAGTAACTGGAAGGAAAACGCACGTTAGAAAATGAAAAACAAGCAGGCAGAATCACCATTTTACAGTTCGCTTTCACAAGCCCTAGTGATTCGCTCCATCACCCCGGATTGTAACCCCACTTCCTGTGTTCCTCCGTCCTCTGGGACAAAGGAAATAGTTTCACACACTTCGTACGGCAACAAGTGTCCTGTGATGTACACACTCCTCTGGGGTGTGTTACTGAAGCAACAATCACTGGGGGGAATTTGAACTCTCTTTCCACAAACATATTTACATGTTATTTGTATTATAGTGGGTGGTAACAGAATAGTACATCGATTTGCTTATGATCCTAAATTGTACCTGGTGCTGGGACTGCTGGGGCTGCTGGTGCTGGGACTGCTGGGGCTGCTGGGGCTGCTGCTGCTGGGGCTGCAGGAGGCTCTGCTTTGACCACCTCTGGTTTGCTGCACATCCCTCTGTAGCTCCATGTTTCAGTGACCTGTCTGCACCTCTGACCTGTTCACATATACAGAAACATTAGGAAAACTTAAACGAATCTGGGAGGAATCATAACAAGGCTTAAACCATGTAATATTGGTTAAACTACGTTTTTTTTGGTTATAATTTAGTATGTCAAATGTAAAGAAAAAACATCACCGAGAGGCTTGAACTACTAAATATGTGTATTTTCTTTGGTAAAATGCTTAAACAATAGCTGATGGCTCGGTTTAATCACACCAAAAACAACACATGCAAACAACACATTCTACAAAAATAACAAATGAGTTCTCGCGAGATATCCAATAAGAAATGAAAGCAGAATAAAGCAGAACTGCCGGTGTGTTGCGCACTTTCTTAATAAGACAGGGGTGTGTCAGGAGGACAAATAAATCATAGAAGTATCGTATAATTATATTAAAACAACACAGTTTACCAAGTCAAAGTAATTTAGTGAGGCGTGTTCATAGCAACTATCAATATACACACCTCCTCAGCCACCATTTACTGGAATTGGTGGGAGAAGAGACACACTTTACCAGGTAAACACATACAAAACAACACGTAAATGAAGGTTAAAGATACGAACCAATGAGGTTGCCAAGAGAAAGGCGAGTTCTGACGAAATTCATGTTGTGTTTTGTTCGTAAAACAAGTAAATTAGGAGCAGTGTATCTCTCAAGACATTAGAGAGCAGTCCTCCGTCAGCTGCTGAAAGTCACTACCTGCTAGTACCACCAGAAGGACCCATCACATAAGATGAGCTGCCTGTGCTGTTTGCCTGATCTAAAAAAGATGACCCCCAATGGAATATTGATTAACTTTATTGGGTTGAATTATATCTTAAAGGTAGGGTAGGTAAGAATGGAGAAACCAGCTCGAGTGCGCTAGACTTTGAAAGTACACAACCGAAAACAATCTGCCCCTTCCTTCAGACTTCCTTACAGAGCCCCTCCTCCAACACACACGAACGCGCATATGACCAATGAGGGCACGAGATAAGTTTGTGCACGAGATGGAAGGCTGACAGGCAGGTAGGCCATCCAATCATCTTTAGCCGGGCCGGCTCAGATGATTGGTCGTGCTTTTTACAGGACTACGGCTTCCACAGATGACATTCTTTTATGATTTTTTGTCAAAGCGTTTAATGTATTCATTGCTATCGGGATGTTAAGAACATTCCATGGAATATAACAAAAAAGTGTTTTTGAATTGAATTACCTACCCCACCTTTAATAGGGTTTTTGTATAATTATGTGAAGGCATCATAAGATATGAGTGAGTTTAGGTCAAAGTAGGGGGAATCGATGGGGGAAATGTGGTCACAAGTTATATAACTGTTTCAGACAGACAGACAGGCAGAAAGACAGACATATATATATACTTTATTCATCCAATGTTTAGTTATCCAACATTTCTTTAAAAAAAACTACAAAAAAACATTAAAAGCTAGTAGAAAATACACATTTCCCTTGCTTAAAATTGCTTTTAAATATACAAAACAATGTTTCCATTACAATTGAAGTATTCTTGTTATTGTGTATTATTGTGTTGATAACTATATATAAATATTTAAATAATATTTATCTAATTTGATGAAATGTTTATTTTTTCAGGCACTGCCTTGAACAGCCCTTACGCGCTGTGTGTGTTCAGGACCCTGCAGTCCAACATGGCTGCGCCCGCTAGAACTTTAAACTGTGAGGACTTCTCTATGTTTCAGGTAAATAAACACAGCATTAATACTTACGAGTTAACTTAACAAGACACGGTAACGATGTAAATCATACCCGCGTTTGATTATAATTCTGCGTAGTGTTCAGACAGAGCACGAGTGAATACTGTTTGCTCTGGGAAGAGTTCAAGGAGCCACAGTAGATCACTGAAAACAAACAGCATGTGGTTTAAAATCTCTGTCACGGGTTTAGATAACTTACCCAACCCAAATGTCCTCAAACGTGTTAACATCCATCTAAACTGGCCTACGTGTTGGGCTCTTAAGCTGCAACATGTTTGGGTGAAGGCTGAGCACAGGTTTGAAACACTGTTGTTTCGTGCAGGAGTTTTGCACATATTAGATATTGTGTAACTTCTCTGTAGGGTTCACCGAAATCCATATCTTTCAATGTTTCTGTGTGAATCCGGTTTGAGGTGTGTGATAACATTTGTTATATTAACCTGAACATGTTTGGATTTTTGACCGATACGTTTAATGGCATCAATTTGGATTTTGTGCACCTTGGATGGACATTTTCACTTTTTATATACATAATCATTATCATTCGATGCAATTCAATTCAAACCTTTATTTATTCAGGTGAGAACCAATTGAGATCATTGACCTATTTTTCAATGGTGACCATGCAGCTTTTAATAGAACTATTAACCAATTGCGAAACAATCATCAGTTCCTATTCTGATATTTAATCTGAAGTACACTGCACAAAAATATGCTTGGACGATTATTAGCCATATTTTGTATGTAGTTTAGTTAGTTTGTAGGAATCAGACTATGCTCTGATAACTAAAACGACAGCAAACCATTTTTGTGACCTTTAAATCCTTGCCTTGAAGGTCATTTGTTGACTCTGTCTCCTCCCCCGCTGTGTGTTTCTCAAAACACTCTGCCCCTCCATGTGAGGTCGGCCCAGACCCTAGGGGTTTTTAAATCCTCACTGAAGACTCACTTCTTCTCCCTGGCCTTCTTGTCAGAGCGGAGCACGACACCTGACATTTCCCTGTGTTTTGTTTTTTATATTTGCTGTTGTAAATGATTGTCTTTTGTTTGCTATTGTAGTAAAGAGTTTTTATTGCATTGGCTCGACCAAAAATCATTTTTAAATGTGCTCTATAAATAAAACATGATTTGATTTCTCAGGAGGTGCTGGGGTTGATGCGAAA